ACATCTTTCTTCTATTGTGTTTTTTCATTCCCATAAGTGAATTACAGTAAAATTTACTGTCTTACCTTAAGGGAGTCACATTTCTCATTGAAAAATTAAGGGTTACTTCTTCCATGACTTTTCTTACCATGGCCAGTAGCAAGAGTTAGATTATGGGGAGGTTTCATTCTGCTTTAATGGACTTTGGATTTTGGCAGGAACTAACTTGAATTGCTCAAATTGGTCATGGGGATACTGAAGCACTGAAGTCAACAAAGCCTGCATCCACATGAGGCATTATGCTTTCACTTTGATGTTTGGAATACAGTTATAATGGGCACTGACAAAGTGCCCTAGATCTCCATAGGTTTTGCTTTAAATTGTGTGCTGCTTCCAAGAGAATATATTCCATTGTATTTACTCTCCTGTTTATCTATAAAATTTGTGTGAGTTTTGGCTGAGTGTGTCTCAGAAGAGAACTGTTACAAAATGCACAGAGTTCAAGAGATTCTGGCAGAGGACTTTGTAAGGAGATGCTGTACCACTTGCTTGCACTTGATACAGCATTTCCTGTGTAAATTTATCTGAAAACTGGTTTTGTTTTTTTTTTTTTTAAGAAATGGTAATATTTCATATTCTTTGTTAAAAATCAGCCAAGATACATGTGCCAGTGGTTGGTAAGAACTAGGCACATCAGTTGAGGTCCTTCCATCAATTTCATTTGGGTTTGGATCAGGCTCTGTAGTTATACATTTAGTGATGGTATAATTTAAGAGTAAATTGCTAAACATGTTGCAGAACATCCTGGAAAACTCTAGGAAATTGTTTGTATGTCAGGGATAGCTGAGTCTCCTTCTGCTGCATTGCAAGCTCATCTGAGGACACCAAGGCTGTCATTTAAATCACTTCCCTGTTTAAATTCCTAACTTTCCCCCCCCACCACCACTTTTTTTTTTTTTTTTTTTTTTTAATTGGTAGAATGCTTTTGCCACAGCTTGTGGCTGGGAGAAGAGGAAGTATTTTTCTGGGATATGGACATACATTTGCCATCCAGTAGCTCAAGGCCTGTAGGAGATAAGCCAGTCAGGAACTTTCCATCTTGCCACTTTTTCTCCTCTTTCTGCCAAGCCACTGTATCACCATCAGTCCCAAGTCATCTAACTGGTAACATCTCTAGTGCTATTATCAAGGCACATTTTATTCCTTGCTTCCTTCCTGGCCAGCAGAATGAGTGCTGAGGGAATAGCAAGGGTTACCTCATACCTCAAACACGAACATGACATGATGAAACATGGCTTGAGCCTCCTGCTGCAGCAGCTCCTGCCAGTTCTCTGAAACAGCTGTGCTTTGGATGGGTTTTTTGCCTTTGCTGATCTTTTTGCAGTGGTCAGCCTGAGAAATATCTGCTTAATGCACACAAACATCTTTTAAGCTATTTCAATTAATATAATGTTTAGAGACACCTAGCCCAGTTCCATCGTTGATGTCCATAGCTGCCATTGTCTTGGATACACAACTTTGCACGTAACTTCATAGGCAATTAATTAATTCCTTTTCCTAAGAAAAAGTGATTTTTAAAGTAGAAGCATGACACACTTCTCCAGTGTGTGCCTATCCAAGTTACTTGTTATTCCTTAGGACATAATGTTAACTTCTTGGTGAATCATCTCTTTTTTTTTTTTTCTTTTGTCAATGCTTTCAGATCCTTATATTCATTTCCAAGGACTGTCATTAAGATTGTCTTAATTGAAAGAACATTTGCTGTAACTTGAGCAGCTGTTCTTCTGCAGTATAAAATCGTGGTAATTGTTTGTGCTCGTTCAGCACAAGGTCTCTGTGAGGGAAGGCAAATGGTCCCTGTTCATAGGTGGTATCCCCCTGCTGTCCTGTCACCCATGAGCTGGAATATGAGATATGCTCTTTAGTGTGTGATGTAAAAAACAAAACCCACTTCTGAACTCCGATTTTACTTGTTTCTGGGACTTATTTTTCTAAAACTGTGTGTCTTATCTATGAGTTACTCTTTAGTAGACCAGTTGGATTTGTGACTCAGTTGCTAAATTACTGGAATAAGCTTATTCATATAGCATTCAGGATAACCCTGCCTGATTTACAGATGCATGAGATAAAAGCATTTTTAAAAAAAGGCTTTCAGATGTGCACAGCTTCCTCATTTTCAGAGCTTTTTTTTGTCATTTTCCAATTAAAAGCTATAATTTCCGTTAGATGTTAGAACTTAAATTGGCATCTCCTGGATGTTATATTCTGTCTGTCCTTTTGCTGTGACATTTCTGCTTATTAATTCCAAATATATGTGTATGGGTTACCTCTACACTGACCTTGCTTTATCAGTACTGGTGTGATCTCAGCTGAGGTGCTGTCAGTTCTGTGGACACACAAGGCAGGCAATACTTGGGGTGGCCAAAGGGTGATGATGCTGAAGCTGCTCTGCTGCTCTCAGTGTGGAAGTGTGAGATGTGTGCCAGTGGATGTGTTCCTGTGAGTGTCGTGACAAGAACTTTGAGGGTGATTTTTGTGAGGTACAGAGTTACTGCCCTTGTTCACTTGTGGTCTGATCATCTTAGTACCTTGCAGTGAGTGGTGAGCAATGATGTAATTCAACTGGCATATTTTAAACTAGTAAATCTAGTTTGAAGGCTTCTTCTCATTTTAGTGAAACCTTGGCACCTACTGTCTTTAAATGGCTGCTAATTTTTGCTTTCATCTCAGTGACTCTATGTTTCTGGAAATTATATGTCTAGACATTGTCTCTGTTCAGAGACATGATTTCCCTTTCCTGTCTGTTGCTCCTTCTGGAAGATGTTTCAGCCCTCTTGCAGAGGTGCTGCTTCTGACACTCTGTTCACTGCTCCACTTTCCATGGTGCTGTTGTGGCTTGCAGCAGCTTCTCAACTATTTCCACTGTTTGAGTTTCTGATACAGAATTACAGCTGGGTGCCACCTTCTCTTCTTTGGGGGAGGTTCTGAAAATGTTCTCTAGAAATTATAAGTCTATCTATAGACATCTTCAACTGAGTGTAGTAATAAAGGGCAAATGTTCTTTTGTCCTAAGAGATTCTTCTATTTCATTTATGTGTTGGTCTCTCAAGCCAGTACAAAAATTTCAAACCACTGAGTGTGATTGGATATTCTGGCTACACCCAACAGCAGTTAGAGAGATTTAGATCAATATACAGCAGTGTTTGAAGTAAATGGGAGTTCAAAGAGTGTCTCATGAAACTTTAAATACTGGTGAGGACTTGCAGCAAAAATCTATGGATTTTATAACTAGGGAATCAGGTCTTCAGTGTTAGCTAGAGGAGCACATTGGGAAGAACATCCTAATACTGTATGGGGTTGTTTCTTTCCTCTCTGACAACTCCTGGACATATCTTGCATCAATTTCTTTGATTTATTCTGCAGTTTATGACAGGAGAATTCAAGAGTAGGAAAAGCTACCATGTTGTTGTTTTTTTTTTTGAGGGGGTTGGTTTTGTTTGGGTTTGCATGTGCTTGTTTGTTTTTCTTTAACAGCTCAGAGTACTGTGGTATATTCAAAGGAGTGGGGCCAGCTCTCCCTCCTTTTTCCTGTCCAGACAAGTCCTCTGTTGAAAAATAAATGTCCTTGTGCCTTGGAAGCAAACCACATGAAATAGAGGATGGAATAAATAGCACTTTCTGCTTCTTAATCCCTTTATTTATTTTCCTTGATTTTTTATATTTTAAAAAGCTGATTTAATTTTTTTTTAAGCTGAGCATTTCTTGCTTCCCAACGGTTTCTCAGTTGAAAGCTTGAGCAGTGCTTAACAAAAGATGAAGCAGAGCTGTTTCTGTTCTCCCCTTTCTAAGACAAGAGTGTAAATTAAACTGAAATATGTACACATATGTGTAGTTATATGAAAAAAAAATCTAAGGATTTTGTACCATAGACTCTTTTCACTGCAGAGAAAAGGCACTATAAATAATTTACCTTTGTCTTCATAACACTTTTGTATCTGAATTTTTTTCTTTATGTTTCCTTAGTATTTTGGTGGGAGCCTCAGAAGTTATCCCAGAGTTTTCTGATTATTTAAAGCCTTCTGATAATTTCCTTCTTCTTTTCACTTGGTAACCTTGGGTTATTGAGGTTGCAAGTCAGGAAATCTCTGTCCAAGACAGCACTAAGAAAAAAACTTACTTAAATTTCTCAATAGATACTAAATTTTACTGAACTTTTGTGGGTTTTTTTTAGTCCAGAAATAGCTATAATAAATTTACTAAATGCTAATATAAGTATATTAAGTTCCGTATTAAGTACTGTGAAGTATTTGGCAGAAATTGTAGAACAAAATAGCTCAGGTTGCTGAAGAAATGTTACATTTTTCTGTTGGTTTGGCCAAGAAAAACAATTTGTTGTACAGCAGCAAATAATCTGTATTATCAAATCTGTCCTGTTCCTGTCAGGAGCTGGGTGCCCTTCATTTCCTTTTGAAGCCAGAAGGGATTCAACATGTTGCAGCTCAGGCTGTGCTGAATACGAATGTCTTGATAGCTGGTAGATCATTAGTATTTATTTGTAAAATGGAAGCAAAATTAGTTTTGACCTTTAGAGCTAAGTCAAAAGTTTAATCCGTGTCCACTTCCAATTTGGTGCATTAATTACTCCCAGTCCTAATTGTATGTAGGACAATATTTTCTGTTTGTTTTGGAGGTAAATTAAACTGTAGGTGATGCTTTGCATTCATAATTTTGTTGTTTGTTTTACTTACAAGTGAAGTCCAAATCACTGAATGTATCTTCATGGATTCTGTTTAAATAAATAGATAAATAAATCAATCAGTATTTCTGATTTTTTTTTTTTCACAAATGAATGCATGCATTCTTCCTAAAGTTAGTGGGATGTGATGTTCTTTTTGATACACAGAGGATAAAAAAAAGATTATGCATTTTTTAGTTATTCAAATATTAGTATTCTTGGCAGCTCTGAATAGGAAGGGAAAACACCAGCATGAAATTAATAACTGTTTTTGTTTTTGTCATAGCTACACTGTACACATCCTGCATTTTGCTGGGTATATTCCTCAACAGCAGCGTACCAATATTCTTTGAGCTCTTTGTGGAGACAGTCTATCCTGTTCCAGAAGGAATAAGCTGTGGAGTTGTCACCTTTTTGAGTAATGTGTTCATGGGAGTGCTCTTGTTTTTCCTCACATTTTACCATACAGGTAAGAAACGTAAGCCACTTGAAAAACTTAATACTCCTTAAGGACATACCTTTGTCAGTAAAAGGAAGAATTTGCACGTACAATTTCTGTTAATAACCAATTGTTTGAATCCAAGCAAGGGCAGCAAGGAAGGAGAATTTTAATTATTCTTTTCTATATGCATGCTTATAAAAATGAAATTTCTTAGGTGCAAGATAATTCTACTTGAATTTGCTATAGCCAGAAACCACCAAGGTACACACTGTCATCATATTTTATAAAGGCCTGGGTAATGTGACCATTAATAATGTTTGTACCTATGGGTGTTGAGCACCACAGTAAAGCTCACCCAATCTCATGCTCATGGGTAGAGCTGTGTTGCCCACGAGGGGCAGAGCAGAAATGACCCATTTAAAGCCAGCTCTGTTCAGCCCAAAAACAGAACAGGCATTCCTTTGGGTGGCCTAATCCAGCTCTGCAGGATTTCACTTCATGTTTTTGTCAATTCATTCAGACCTTCTCGTCTCTCAAGTATTATTTGCTTCCTCCTAACTCATAATCATAACTTAAAACTTGCTGTTTAGTAGACTATAATACATATTATTACTCTAAGCTGTAAAATAAGAACCCAGCTTCTTTCAAAGGGAAATGGTCTTTTTTCATGGTTTTCAAAGATGCATGTTTTTTTCTTTGTATTTTGTCATTATGGTAAACATTTACTTCACGGTGTAATACTTGTAAACCATTAGAAAATGTGAGTTTGTGTGTATTATTACTTCTTAAGATGTTGTATTTTATTACTAAGAGGAGAGTGACAAATTTCAGATTGAATTCTGCTATAGATTATCAAGGTTTCAACCTGGGGCAAATTTTCAACATGGTTTGTCTTTCTGCCAAGAAATTGCAAGCAGGATGACAACCTTGTTCCAAATTGTGGTCTTTGAACACAAACGGAGAGAAATTTTTAAATTTTTTTAATACTGATGATGAACTGTATCATTGTAAAATCTGAATGCCATCTGGACTAGCCTTGGGTGGTGTGAGAGCTAGTCTTTACATTTTAAAGTATACTTTTGATATTAATTGGTGTGAACTCTATTCACACATACTGTTGTTTCTGACATCTCTACCTGAGCTGGAAAGATGACACAGAATGTTCAGAGAATTTTTTCAGTGTTTGGCATTACATAATAAATGAGGATGGGGATATGGTGTCTCACTTCTGATGAAAGAACTACAATAGAGTGGACTCATTACCCCACAAATAGGATATTCGGGACCATTTTTTGTCACTCATGTTTCGTTCCCTACGAGATACCAGTAAATGCAGGTTAGAATAAACCTGAAATTGGTATACCCATACATTTAAAATACTTTCCCTATTTCTTCAAAAGGAAAGAAAATAAAGTAATTTGTGCTTAGGAAAATCCATTCTTTGACAGAAAGTATGAGAGAGTGTGTGGTCACCGGGGGGGATCAGTGCCAGGGGTGCTATTGGCTCCTCTGATTAAAAAAATCCGTTAGAAGGTAGATAATGATCTTAATCATTTGCTTTCATTTGATTCAAATACATCCTGTAATGGCATTTAAGAAGCTTACAGATAAATCAGAACTCAGTCAAATTCATCTTGTTCCCTTGGTCTTTCCTTTTAGGCCAAATAATCTTTCAGTAGTTTTCATTCCAATTTCTCTTTTTCTCCTTGTACTGATATTACAAATGCTGAGAAGAGCCCAAACCCTGGAAGATTTCCAGTGTGCTGAAGATTTTGGTTCAGCTAGCAGAGTGGGGATGTAAACCTTCCTAAAGCTCAGCCTTGCTGCTAGTGCTGTGCCCCAAAGCTGCAGCCTCTGGATGAGGTTTCCTTTGCCTTTTCTGCAGAGATATCCAAGGGAAAAACAAAAGGAAACTGACCCTTGGCTTCACATGATTGATGCGTCCCCTGCATCGCCAGTGCTGTCACAAATTCTAGATCAAAAAAGACATGAAGCATTCCCAAGTTAAATTGCATATTTTAGGATATTTGAGTTAAAATCAGTTTAATTCAATTAAGGAGGAATGTGTTAAGAAAAATAATAGCAAAGCATTTGCCTGTTGACTTCTGGCATCACATAAGTCTTGTCCAAGCCTAGGAAATTTTTACTATGGTTTTAATAATACTACTGCCTAAACAAATCCATAAGGGTTTTTGGAGGATCAGAGAGAATGTTGTTGAAAGTTGCTGGTTTTGAAAGGTTGATTTTTCAGGCTTTCTGACTGTTGCTTTCGCCTTGTTTAAAATAAATCATGCTTTTTCTTTCAGCAATATAAATTGCAGATTTAAGAAAGTAGCAATGATGAAGCCTTGATTTTAATTAACACTCGCCCTGGAGGGAGAGTTTAGATTCTGTAAAATTAAATAATAATAAGAGTAATAATAATAATGGAAAATTTGGAAAAAAAACAGTTAAAAGCTATCCAGTTAAATGAATGTTTCTTTAGTAAATTGACACATGTAGAAAAAAATTGTGTTGTCTCAAAAAAAAATGTGAATCAAACTGCTAATTATTAGTCAAATATCAGATGATAGGATTTCTTGAGTACAGGACACAGACTTTTAAGAGCAGTATGTTACGTTGAACAGCTGGAAAGAGGCTTCCAAGGACCTGTTTCTTGCAATGACTTTTAAATTGAATTGATCCTATTATGCACAAGTTTCTTCTGAGGAATTGGTTTTCCCTCCTTATACAATGTAGTAGTTGTGATTCAAAATCAAACCCAGTTTTTTCCCATGCTTTTAATTTTAGTTCTCAATCCACAGAAATCAAGGGACTAACGAGCACAGTCTTTGGAAGTTGTTTATTCTCCATTAGCAATGATAGATTTTGGGTTTTTTTCCCTGTTCTCTTCATTGGCAGGTTGAATAAGGAGGATTTACATTAGCTGGAGGCATTGGTTATAAATATATGTAAGTTAAGGTGTCCATGGAGAAGGCTCACAGACCAAGTTGACCATCGATCCATCGATCGATCGGGAGCTGTCAGGATTTTGTCCGAACACAGTGATTTCCTTCCAACCTGCCATCAGTCCAATCTTTGGTCTCTTTAAACACAGAACATGTTTGCTAACTGAGGCTGGGTCTCTGTTGTGCTTTACAGAGTTTTCCTGGTTCAACTGGTGCCTGCCAGGGTCGTGTCTGCTCAGCCTGCTCCTCATCCTGTGCTTCCGCGAGTCCTACGACAGACTCTATCTCGACGTCGTCGTCTCCGTGTGATCACCCTGCACTGGTGAGGGCTCGGAAGAGACTGGAAGTCGGCTTTGCAGTCTGCACATCTGCCTGGATTTGCACAGCTGAATAGCAGAAAAACAAAAAATTGCAAGACTTAATCGTGGCTTTATTTAGAGAGGGTGAGGGATGGGTCGTTCTTATGTTCAAGACCATCTTGATTTGCCATAAATGTGGAACTGGAGTGGTGATGGTGGCACCAAAATGCACAAAGAGAATCTCTCTGCTGTCCAGGTCCCTGTGCAGGGCTGGGGCTCTCTGTTGAAGAGGCTGTTGATGTAGCAGTGAGGTGTATGTTGTGTGTGCGTGTGTGCCTGTGTGCTGACTCACGGTTATACACACCAGGGTACCAGTAATCTTCAGAGTCTTCTATCAGAATGAAAATAGGGAATAATCTTAACAAAAGGAAAAAAATAAGAAAAGAAAGCAAAAATATTTTCAAGAGCTCTTTAAAATCACTAGTCATTTTTATATTGAATGTTCATTAAACAGTTAAGCTAATATGATTTGGTGCTTTACACTACATTTACATTCTAATAAAATGGGTTCTGATATAAGACACTGGTACCAGGGTTTTTAGCCATAGTAAATATCCCAAATAATCCTTGCAGTTATATTAGAGGTGTTTGTTACCACCCTGGAGCACAAGTAAACAATAGCTTTAGCTGCCACTGAATCCCAACCTGCACCCACAGTCATTTCTGAAATGTCACCATGGTTCCGTATGTCCTGAATATGGAGCATCTGTGGTGTACTGGAGTGTCACTCTAGGTAAATGTGGCTGTTCTAAAGGCCACCACTGTGTCACCTTTCCATCCTCCATCTCCAGTACTGCCTTTTTTACTGTTTGTGCCACTGAATACTGTGGGTGTGGATGTCTGAGTCCTGCTAGTTCTCTCCTGATACTCTAAGGTGTGTGTGGTTTTAGGATTAGTTTATGACTGAGGGTGCCTAAACAATATTGCTTGTAACCCAAGTCTGGAGAAATCACTGTTTCCTAAAAAACCCTTTCTAGTTGAGGAGATGCATCATTGATGGCGAAATGACAATGAGTTTGACAATGAGTAACTCACAAGTTCTGGCATAATATGGGAAATTAATGCCAGCTCTTTTTATCAGTACTAATCTGTGGTCATTCTGGCCCTTACTTGAACATAAATATTAAAGACACTTTGAACAGTTTTTTAACTCAATTTTTAAACCTGCTAATGATTTCTTAATTATTTCTTAGATTTCAGTTCAGCATAATTTAAAATATTTCCGTGTGTGTGTGTGTTTGTTCTGTGCTTTGTGTTACAGGGGTGTGTTTGTGTGTATGGGGGCGTGCATATTTATATAAATGTATACACAAATAAAACTTATATATATAAGAGATACATATATATATATATATATAAGTTGTGCAAGGGTATGTGTTTCCCTAGGTTTACTCCAGATGGTCCTGTCTGGGGAAGGTGATGTGCCCTTGTTTGTAACCAAGCCAGTCACTGCCATGAGTGGGGATGCCTTGTGCACAGTCTGCGACAGGGATTCTTTTCAGGGAATGATTTCCTGTCGTGGCAGTTCTATGGCAGGGGGTGGGTGCACGTGTTGGAGGAGGCTCTGCATCTCTAGAAGTTGAATCAAGCCCCCTCTGCTCCTGTGTGGGGCTCTTCTTTGCCCCTGGGGCGACACCAACACGGTAAGCTCACTCAAATAACCCAGAACTACCTTACTACCTTCCAGACTTGGATCTGTTCCTTCTGCCTGCTCTCCTTTTGCAGAGAGAATACACCTCTAAGACTTAACTCAGGAGTGTATCTGTGCAGTAAAATAAAAGAAGCTGTTCCCTGCTTTTGTTTTCAGAGCAATTAATGTACTTACTGTAGTGACTGAAAATGGATTTAGCTCATTGCCTGTATCAGCTGTAAATAGTCTTTCCTGTCTTGAAGCAGGCTCTTTGTGGTAGTGGAGCTAACCTGCATAGGGAAAAGGAAATCGGTCCAACCAGCTCATTCAGATCCACTGGCATCATCCCTTACTTTCTAGATGAGTGGTGTTAACAGAGCAGCTTCTTTTTACTACATTTTAGTGCCTGAATTAGTTTCAGCATCCAGTAGCTGCTGCTACCTATTGTCTTCTGAAACCAAGGATCGTTTGCCAGGAGTCTGGAGTTTCATTGTCATGGCAGAACTGCAAGCTGGGATGGCTCTTCAGAGCTCTGTTTCTGCAATTTGCAGTAGCTATATAAAGATTAAAATTGCTCAACTTAGGCACTGTCCTGAGTGACAGATTTCTGATTCTTTCACTGTCCTGACTATTTTAGGATGGAGAAGCATTTTACACAGTATTCAGACTATTACCTACTCTTCCTCTGTTCCAGAAGCCATCAAACAATTCAAAATATTTGTCAGTGCTTCCGGATGCAGGCTCTTTATAGTCAAGGGAAAAGAGTGAACCTCTTGTTTTAAAGCCTGTTGGTTGTTTCTCTGAGTCAGTGTGAATGGCTCACTGTGACTCTGAGGCTTTGGTATCTGTTTCTCTGTGTGGTGGGTTGACTGTGGGTGGACACCACGTGCCCACCAAAGCCACTCTGTCTTTGCCTCCTCAGCTGGGCAGGGAGAAAATACAATGGAAAGCTCATGAGTTGAGGTGAGAACAGGGAGAGGTCACTCACCAGTGACCACCACGGGCAAGACAGACTCAACTTGGGGAAACTAGTTTAGTTCACTAGCAATCATACCACAGTAGGAGAATGAGAAATAAAACCTAATCTTGAAAACACCTTCCCCCCATCTCCTTCTTTCCAAGCTTAACTTGTGTTTTTTTCTCCCCCCTCCCCTCAGCAGCACAGGGGGACAAGGAATGGGGGCTGTGGTCAGAGCATCACACATCTCATCCCCTAAGGACTCCTCACATTCTTCCCCTGCTCCAGCATGGGGTCCCTCCCAGGAGAGACAGTCCTCCACAAATCTCTCCATTGTGGGCAAAGAACTCAGAACAATCCTGCCAGCAAACCTGCTCCACTCTGGGCTCCTCTCTCCATCGTGCCACAGCTCCTGCCAGGAGTCTGCTCCAGAAGGTTGCCCACAGCCTCCTTTGGGCATCCAGCTGCAGGCATTGGGCTCTCACAGGCTGCAGGGGAATCTCTGCACTGACCTAGGTACCTACAGAGCTGCTGCTCTCTCCAGCTGTGCAGTGACTTCCTTTCCCTTCCTAATCTGTTATCCCAGAGGTGTCACCACCGTGGCTGATGGGTTCAGCCTTGGCCAGTGCCCGTGCTCCATTTGGAGCCTGGCTGGTGTTGGCTCTGTCACTCTTGGGGAAGCTCCCAGCTGCTTCTCATGGACACCACCCCTGCAGCCCCTCACTGCCAAAGCCTTGCCATGCAGAGCCTGTGTCTGTGTCTGCCTGGCACTGCAGTATGGTCTGAGTTACAGCCACCAGTGCCCCTGCACTGAAGCAGGGGCTGGGCAGCCCAGCCAGGCCCTGCTGGAAACCTGCATGGGGTTCACAGGCACCACTCTGCAGTCAGGGCTCAACCCGAGTTCTCAGCAACTCTGATGCTGAAAGTCAAAGGATTGCTCCATTGCTTGAAGTTGTGCAGGACATGGCTGCATTCCACACACAGTGTTCAGGTTTAGGATTTTATTAGATTAGCAAGTCTGGCTCAGGATGGAGGTGAGGATTTTAAAAGTGCTTGCTGAGATCTCTGAAAAACATTTTATCCCCATCTGTGCTCCACAGCAGCATCCTTCTGTGGATGTCCAGTCCATGTCACATCAGTAACACAACCCATAGAAATTTTTTGGATAAGCATTACCACTTGGTCTACCCTTGTTTGGATTTAGCAAGAGTCCAAGCTGCCAGGCTGCCTGCACTTCATTGGAAGTTTGAGTTTGAAGCACAGGGAGAGCCCTTAGCAGTGCAGCTGCAATTAGCAGTAGTGCAGAATAGACTCAAAACAGTTAATATTTTTCTTAATAATGAAAGTTCAAAGTCTCTCTAACTTGGGCAGTGCCAGCATTGGCTGCTGCGTGGCCTGTGCCTAGCCAGCAGAGGAAGGCACCCTGAGAAGCCCTGGAATATTCTTCTCTTTGTGGCCTGTAAGTTCACACCCTGAAGAACCTCTTCCCCAGCAGTGCTGAGCCCCTTTACACAGGTAATGGTGCTGTGGTTTGTGATGGGAATGCTGGGAGGGCTGCTCCATGGGGACCACTCTCTCCTAATGGTTCATTGCAAACACAGGCTGCTCCTCAGGTTTGTCTGGCTCAGTGACACCCTCGGTTCAGCCTCCAGTGCTGCTGGCTCTCCTCCTGAGCTCTGGAGCTGTCTGCTCATGGGGAGGCTCAGGATTAGAAAATGCAGGCTCCACTTACAGCACTGGTTCCTGTCTCTGGTCACTGCTGTTACTCATTCACTTCCTCTGGCATCCTTTGCCCTCCCTTGGGCCTGCCTGCTCCCCTGAGCTGGAGGTGTGGAGAAGAGATTCCTTGCTTCCAGAGCAATTTTACAGGGAAGGGTTGGCTGACCATGTACTTAATGTATATAAGAATAAGGATCCTTTTTGAGAAAATCATGGCAGTTGGAATAAAGTGCAGACCCAAAGGATTCTGCACATACCATGAACAGATATCTGTTACAAACAGACTGTAATTTACCTGAAGCCTATGATTTTAGCTCCCACACCTAGAGAGGCCAAGCAGATGGGCACCCTGTGTGTCAGGTATTCAGGCTCACAGCATCACAATTATTCCCAACATCTGACAGAGCTGAAAGGAGTGGGAGTGGGACGTCTTGAATCTTGGAGTGGGTTAGAAAATCCCAGACTCTGTCAGTGTTTGTAATGGGAACTTGGGAAAAGCAACAGGTTGAACTGAGTAACAAGAAGTGCCCAGTTCCAGGGGACATTTCATCACAAAAATATTCCATTGGACTGATGAAGTCCATATGCAATTTGAAATTTTGTGGCGACAGGGATGTTAATCCCGGGCTTGTCCTACAGTAAACTGAGCAAGTGACTGCGTGGCCTTGCACTGCAACATAAACAAGCTGCATTGATTGATGTGCATGTATTGGCTGTTACAAGAATGGGAAATGTGATTTAATTGTCAGGAGTGACTGAAATATGAATGGGAATTACAGTTTGCACAGTGGATATAAGTGCTCTGTAATGGTGTGACAGCAGGGCTCTAATTGTTCATTTCTTTTGTTGGGTCACTTGCAAATTAGTAAGTATCTCTGACAAAGGCATTTTTCTGTCTCATTAGTTTTGAGGAGGTTCCTTTTATACTCTAAGTACAGACCATTGTAATAACTTGGCAACACAACTGCTACACCGTGTGGAAACCTACACCAATTCTGGGTATTGAGTTGGTATTTGATGTTGGTGCTGCCATTCTCAGGGTTGTCAAAGCACCACGTGTCAAGAACAGGGATGTGGGGTGTGCAAGGAGCTGTGTGTGGATGCACAGTTGTGCCAACCCTGCCAAAACACACAAGACCTTTGTCACCTTCCGTGGGTCCCAGCATTCCAGCTGTGGGGGGAGAAGGGGGAAATGCTGCCCTATGGCTGCTGCCTCCTTTTCATCAGGGAGAGCCAGGCAGCCTCCAGGTTCCCTGCTTCACCTGAGGGGACCATCACCATCAACACAGACTCCATTTCACTGCCCTGCAGCCCTGACTGCTGCCAGGTGGGTTGTGGGTGGCACAGGAATATCTGCCTTGCTTCCTCCAGGAGTACAACTTCAGCTGGCAGAGAATTGCCCCGGAGCAGGCACAGCCACAGTGAAGTCAGAAAAAGATGTCAATCTGCTCACAATTTTTGCAGTTTGTGTTTCAAGATGAAACTAATAAATAAAGGGAGAAATGTAACTCTCTGCAAAGTTTTGACAAGCAAAAGCAAATATTTGCACAGATGGGCTGGCTGCTGCCAATTACTTGGGACTGCAAAGTTTTTGGATCAATTCATGCCCCCTGCAGCCCCAGCACTGTTTCTTCACTGCTCAGGCCCAGCAGCACCGTGGGAAGCTTCAAGCCCTGGTGGAGGGCAGGGACTGGAGCACAGAGGAAGAAGGGAAGGGCTGAACCAGGACGCCCAGGAGGGGGGATGCTGGGCACCTGGGCTATTTGCACATGAGGGGCATCCACTTCAGCCCAGTTGTTTCAGAATCTCATTTTTTCCTTCATCAAGGATGAGTTTTGGACCTTCATTTTCTGTTGGTGATGAGATTTGTGCCACGGGGTCAGGGATGGCTGTGGTGGTGGCACATGATGTAGAGGTGTTGGTTTCCCAGGGTGCAGCAGGGAAGGCAGCTGGGACATGCTCTCTGCTTTTCTCTGCACGGTCTCTCTCCCCAGTGCTTCATCCATGTGATTTATCTGCTTGGTGCATCTGGACAGACTCACTGCACTCACTTTGTGTTGCTACATGAAGACAATACCAGCAGCAAAACCTCTTTATGGGAAGATTTTCCCTTCAGGATGAGGCCACTTCTCCAACCTTAGTCCACGTGTTTGTCAAAGCCACAACAACCCCAAGCTCATGTTTTTCTTCAGAGGGGATGTGCAGGTTTGTGTGGGACAAGTCAGGGGGCTTGGGGAGGGATTGCTTGGGGCTTGAGGTGCCCACCCATGCCAGGGGAGGGGGATGCTCCATGTCCCTCCCCAGCAGGGACACCCTGAATGTGCAATGTAGAGTTGTGTTCCCTGACCCCTCCCTGCCCACAGCTCTTCTGTGTGCTCTGACCTTTCTGCTGTCACCTGGGCTGAGCCAGCCCAGCAGAGCTGCAGGGTGTCCCCATGGGCAGCTTGTCATCTGCTCCTGCTCCTGTGGGACAATGATGCATTTTCCAGATACATTTCTTTTATCTGCTTATGATATTGGCTAGATTAAAATCTTTTTCCCTACCATGTTTAATGTCTTCCACTGCATTTTAGAAAGAAGTACTTGATAAGGTCATAAAAACAGCTTTAGATTATGGGACACACCTAACAGTTGGGGTTTTTTGAACTGCATGAACATATGGGTAAGGAAGAGGGTTTTACATGTTGGAGAGCATCTTTGTAAACTATCCTCAACTTGTAAGACTGTTCAGTTTTACTGGAGTTTGTATGCATTTTACTTTTATAGTTTTTTAAGTGATTTGATAGAATTTTATTTTAGGGCAAATTCTACATTTTGTATGCAATATTCCGATGTGGTGTATTTTTATTTTTTAGAAAATAATGTTGAAACCACTATATACTTGTCAATGTAACATATCCAGTGTGTAATTTCTATTTAAAACTGGACTCTGAAGTGCGTGTTATTTTACGTACTGGTTGTTGCACATTAAAGAGGTTACTCAGTTTGCTGCCATCACTGTTCATCACTTCCAAGAAAGCACAAGGGAGTAGTTTATTTCTGCCATAACTACGAAATGGAGGTTGTTTAGTCTAAATGAATGTAGCCTCATCCAGTCTCCCAGCCCAGCCAATGAAAGATTTCCATGGCTTTTCCAGAGGTTTTGGGGTGGTGGTCTGGCACTGCCTGCACCCCTCGGTGTGCTCCAGCAGGGAGGGAAGGGCCTGGCAGGGGTGGCAGCCTCTGCAGTCTCTGCAGCCCCACCCCATCATCACAGCTCAGATTTCACACCCTGATTCCCCCAGGCTCAGGGCTCAGGATGCTGCAGGCCAGCTGATTTTGCTGGCTCCCATCATCGATGTCTCTTTTAGAAAGGAGACCCTTTGTAAGAACCTTCCTTGTGTTTATCCTGCATTTAATTGAAGCAGACCCAACCCAGCATCTCTTGATCCTTGTTTATTTTCTAGGACCAGCTCTTCAAGAATGGCCTGACCACTTATCAGGGCAAATTTAAAACAGCCTCACATCCTATTAGGGCTGGGAAGAAATCTGTCAACTCTCATGTCGTGGAATATCTGGGCCCCACTATTCTTAGCAACAGTCTCTTTCCAGGCTATATATGGGAGCTTAAAGCGCCTCTAATGATACAGTTCCCAGTTGTATTTATCTTTGCAGTGTTACAGAAATCTCCATCCTTAGGGGGATGAGAGCTGAGGATCCGTCTCAGAGCCCTGATGTAGTTTTGTGTGTTGATGAAGTCCCTGTGCTCGTTCTTTCTCAGGTTTTTTTCCTATTTTCTGTTTTATCTTTGCTGTTGTTGAAGTCTGCTCTTTCCCTGGCACATAAATGACATTTATTCTGTCTTTCCTGAGTGTGCTGGGTGCTGGCATCTCCCTCTTTGACTGTGCTGCAGTTGCACATGGGGGAGCAGCTGGGCTGGGGCCAGCTGGTGGAAAGCTCTTGGTGCTGTGCCCAGATGTGCCCAGATGTGGGTGAGCTCTCACAGATACCTCATGTCTTAACAGCCGTGGGACCAGCAGAGGCTGGGGGAAAGGTTGGGGCCACTTGTAAACGCTGGGTCTGTGTGTTTTGGTATCTTTGGGCTGCAGCCAAACACCAAGGATGCTGATGCTGGGAACATGAGCAGCAGCAGCCTCCCAAGGCAGGTGGACCTGCCTTTACCCTCCAACCCTGAGCAGCTGCAGGGCTTTACCTGCTCCAGGAGCATGGCTGGGGCTCGCATCAGGGACTTGGGACCCAAGGCACTCATCTTTACCTGGCACATGCCACTGATGTCACTCTGCACCCACCACCATCCATCTCAGCACAGACCGACAGCCACAGCAAGCCCCAGGCTCGGGCACTGAAAGGAGTGGGCAGGGGACACAGTGGGGTGGGGCTCAGGCCAGCACGGGCAGAGGCAATGCCAGCAGCCCAGGAACTGCCCCCACCATGCTCTGAACCTGGAATTCCTCTCGGGCTCCCCTAAACCTGCCCTTGACCCAGAGCTGAGGGGCAGGATTGTGGCTGTGGCTTCATGGCTGAGTTTTGGTGCTGGAAGAGCAAAGGGTGATGTGGGCAAGGAAAAGGTGGCTCTGAAGGGTTTGTGGTGAGTGGATGAGAAACAGAAGTATGAACTAGATCAGCACAGCTCACACAGAAATGCCTTCACTGCCTCCAGTGCGCAGAAAAAGTTTTGAGAGAGGTTTTCAGCACGGGCCTGAGCCTATGGCAAGCACTGCAGCTTGTGCCACTCTGTATTGGAGGTGATTTTATCTGGGGTGGGGTGTGGGGCTCTGGGCTGGCATGCAGAAATGATGCCCAGAGTACAGGTTTGTGCCTGTTCACTCCAGACCCTCCTTGGCTCCAGCAGCTGCTGGCACGGTGGGGCCTGCCAGGGACTGAGCTGCTCCCCAGGACAGGCAGCTCTGCCAGGCAGGAGGTTCGTCTCCTCCAGCGCCAGAGGAGTGATGGATCAGCAGAAGACAGCAGTAATTGCCAGGAGGCTTTCAGGCAGAAAGCAAGGCTCTCGCTCGAGGACAGGCTGATGTAAGTCAGCATGTAAATCGGGGACAACATAAAAATAATTCCAGCCAAGCTCCTAGGAAGAAACCTATGAACAAAACTGTTGTTGCTAAGAAATGTGCAAACAGAAAACAATAATGTGGCTCCTGGCAGGGTAATAAAAGTGTATCAGCGTTGTGCCTGCTCTCCCGTACAGATCGCTTGCTCGTGACAGTAAATTAAGTACTGCCAAAATGGGTACGGTTTTCTCTGTGGCCATTGAGGCTTCACATCAGGGAAATATCAAATATTTCTGATGGCTGTTCATTACCCTGCGCTTGAGAGGGGAGCAATCCTTTGCTGGATCCATTATTTCCATGACAGCAAGGAAATGACTATGGGAGGTTTAAAAACGAAGGAATGCAGCAAGGTTAGATGGATGGAACCTCAACAGCCTGTTGCTGTTCACTGTGGTCAATGCTCACCTGCCTCTGGGAGACACCTCACTGTCTCCACAGTGATGGAAAGCCAGGACTACTTTTTGCTTCCAGCTAATTGCCAGCTCACAAACTGTGAAGTTTGACCTTGAAAATCCTCAGAGATGTTATTTTGAAGGGTAACAATGCTGCAGCACAGCTGCTCAGCTGGAAGATGCTTTCCACAGCTCCCCCACAGCCGGGAGGAGCTTTAAGTGGTTGCTGAATTCCAGATCTGCCTCAGCTGGTATGAGGACCCAAAGAGTGGCACCTTCCATATTCTGTAGAGATCCACACCATGGAGCTGACAGATGGATGTGGCTGTGTGCAGCACAACAACACTTCCTTGTCATCTTAGTAGTTTTAAAATGAAAACCAGCTGACCTTACACACATTTGAGTTGCTGTGAGGTATCAACATAAGGCCAGTTGGAACAAAAAAAGGGTGATAAAACTCTGGGTCACAAAATAAACCTGGCCTGTGATCACACTGGGGCAAGCAGGAAAAGGTGAGAGTCTGCCCAGCTGCCAAGAGCTTTAAATTTCTGTCACAACACCAAAATCACCTTCAGTCCTTACCCCAGTGGTTTTGTTTGGAGACATTGCCAGCAGCTTGAAGGGTTGAAATCTCACGAAAGACAGGGATGTGTGCATGTGGTTGGGTTTTTTCCTTTGGGAACAGCTGAACCCTGTCACCTTCTTGATTAATTTGAACCTCAGTTTTTTTAAACAGAAAGTGCAATGACAACTCTGTCAGTGTTTTTTTTTTTTTTTTTCTTTTTGAATGGACAAAATGAACCATGTCAAAATGCATTTCAGCTGTTAGCAAAACAGTTTGTAATGAGTCTCAAAGCTTTGGTAACTGAGTGTGTGGTCCCTTGGCTGTACCCTCGAGGGGGAAGCACACACGGGGTACCATGGGGAGCAGAGCTTTTGCAGTTCAGGGTTGATTCTCACACACACTGCATTGCTTGCTCTGTGCTGATCTCTTCAGGATGGCTGCATTGTGCTGATTTTGGCCAAAACAGGGAATGTTGCTGAGCCTGGGGTCTGTCCCCCTGCCTGGTCACAGCAGCACGACCCCGTGGGATCTCAGAGAGGACTGAAATGGTTGTGTGGGCAGAGGGAAATTCAGGAGTCAGAGCCAGGCCATGCAATCCCATTGTGATGGGGGACTGGGGGCTCTGGTGCCCATGGGGGCACTGGTCAGGGTGCTGGGCACCAGTAGCAGTGCTGGGTGTGGCAGTAGGGGATTCACTTGAGACTTTTTTTACTGCTGCAGCCTGCCTCCTTTCCAAGGAGTGTGTCTGCACAATGCTCTGCCTGGCCACTGCTCCTGGCAGCGTGTGAAGCTCAGGTATGAGAGAGTCAACAGCCTTGCTAAAATCAGGCTGCAGGATATTTCTTATTTCCATGCTATCTGCACGATGTGGTGCCTGTTCAGAGGAGGAAATTAACTTGCTCTGGATAATGCCTGGGTGCCCAAACACATCTGCTCAGCTGCTCTGTGGTGGTTACAACTCGTTCATCCGAGTCCCCGCTCCAGCATTTTCATGAGCACGGGTGTTACCAGGGCTGGGCTGCAGCTCCCTGCCCCTGCTCCCCTCCACAGCACCGAGTGTTGGCAGTGTTGGCACTCCCCACCAGCCACGGATATTTCCATCCCTTAACAGAGAAGAAAACACCAGCAAATGACCTTCATATGGAGGCCCAGGGCTGGGACAGGTTTGTCACTGCAGCACCTGGCTCAGCACATCCCCAAAGCCCCTCTTGCAGGGAACTGGGACAAAACAGTGAGACCAGACTCGAGTCATGAGGAAACTTCTGCTTTTTCCTTTTCCTGCATTTTTTATACCAAACCTCTGAGCACTACCAAAGGCAGGTTGGAGGGGTCTGTAGGGCTGCAGCTGTTGCTGGGGTTCCCCCAGACAGTCCCACAGCCTGGCCTGGGTCCCTGCTTTGCCCATGCTGCTGGGAGTGCTCCCACACCTCATGGGGAACCCACAAGATAATCAAAATTTTTGTGTTTTCCACACAATTAAGAATTAAAGAGAGAAAAGAGTACAGTTGGGATGCACAGTGAAGGTGAGAGAACAAAATTTACTGACACTACAAGTGAAGCTGTTATGTTAATGAGTCAAATTAGCAACTGGAAAAAAAATGTGGTGGTAGACAGATTTAAGGGAAATTGAAAATTGGTTCCAATGTAGTACTTTGCTGTAATTGTATGCAGAGGTGTCTTGAAGCAAAACAAAACTGTTCAAAAATGACCTCCCTGTGTTACCGTGCAAAGTAACTGAGAAAAAAAATCCATCTCATTCACAACAAGTTTGTTTTTACTGATCTTGTGCCTCTCAATTACTTTTTAATGGTCTGCATTGAAAAGAAATTCCTGTATGCACACTTGAGAATATGAAAACACCCAAATGATAGCTTATGATTTAGTAGGATTAAAGTATTATGTATGCAGGTGTAGCACGTTTCAGGTTATTAGCAATCCAATCTATTTTTTATGACATTATGGTGTAATTTTCTG